CGTATATCAGGGGTGGCGAACTCCGGTCCTGGAGAGCCGCAGCCCTGCAGAGTTCAGTTCCAACCCTAATGAAAACTCACCTACCTGTAGCTTCCTAGTAACCGTTCAGACCTTGATTAGCTTGTTCAGGTGTGTTTGATTAGGGTTGAAGCAAAACTCTGCAGGGCTGCGGCTCTCCAGGACCGACGTTCGCCACCCCTGATATATATACAGGTCCGTCGCTAGTGGGGTGAAAGGTGGTGATGATTATAGAGGCCCACTGCTGAGGGGGGCCCCCGGCGATTTCAACCGACTGCCCGAGGCCAGCATAAAAAGACGGCCTGGGTCACGAAAGCTTATCAATTGCACGTGTTTTAAGTCTTGCCAATTTAAACACTCAAAACAGTTTAAAGCATTCAAATACAAGACGTGGAAAAACTCAACTGAGTGTTCGCGCGCCGAGTTCGGTATGCACACTGAGAGCCGCGCGAACACCAAACCGAGCTCTTCTTCGCTTCCTCCCATGCCTGAACGAGCAAACACACCTCGCCAGTTTAACTCTGAGGTTGACAGGACAAACAAAGAGACACTTTCATTTCCTCAATAGCCAGACATATGCACAACCCTGAAAAAATTATACATTTCTTTGCGCCCAATCTAAATTTCAGAACAACACTTTTTTGTAAGAATTGAGCTTCCACCAGGGTCGCCGCTAGTGAGGTGAAAGGTGGTGACGATTATGGGGGCCCGCGGCTGTGGGGGAGGGGGTTCGCGTCGTCACGAAAGCTTATCAGTTGCACGTTTTAAGCCTTGCCAATTTAAACATTAAAAACAATTTAAAGCAGTCAAACACAAGACGCGTAAAAACTCGTGCGTCTGTGCGTTCACGGAGAGCCGCGCAAACACCGAACCGAGCTCTCCTTCGCTTCCTCCCGCGCCTGGACGAACAAATACACCTCGCCAGTTTAAACATACAAACACAAAAAGACATGAAAAGCTTAATTCAGCACCCGCGCACGCAGAGAGCCGTGTCTCACGGCCCTTGAACACCGAATTGAGTTTTGTCTCTTCTTTATCTTGAAACGACAAATACATACAAAATTGTCACAAAACCTGTCTTTGTGAGTATCCTCGAAAAAACTGTTGGTTATGTCTTAAGTGAAAGTAAATCGAATGTGTATCATTATATTGGATGTATTGTGTTTTAAAGTGACTGTGCCTAATTTACTAGCTGCTGTCAGTGTCCTTAATGTTAATCCAAGAAATGAAATGGGAGAAAATCACTCACTGATCAAAGTAATTGATTTTTACCGAATTACTTTGTAGTTTTAACAAGCATAAATCTATATTTAATTTATACAGTGAAGACTATGCAATGCTATTTACATTTGATTAGTCAGTTTCTGTACCTGGACACCTATAAACTTGAAAAAAACTTTGATTTAAACATTGTTTAATTTGTATATTTGTGCTATTTACACAATTTCAAACAGGGCCCACAGGTACAACCTGCACCAGGGCCTCGCAAACCCCAGCTACGGCCCTGTTTGTACCTATTGTAATGGACTATTTTTTTTAGTGGAAGCTCAAAGACAATAAACAATTTTAGCTCAAATTAATATTTCATGTCCTGATATATTTTTTAATCGATTGAATAGCAGCGCTACGCACCGGGCTCATTGTCGGTGTTTATTTTGCGATAATGAACCGCTGACTGTACATTAGCATTGCACAAAAATGAAAGAATCACGTAGACCTACTTTCCTGAAAAGTGGCAGATTTAGAGAGAATGGCTCTTTAGTTTGGCCCGTTATAGTCGTCAATCTTCCCTATTTATATGAAGCAGTTGATGCACACGATGTGTTTCAGGTATTCTCTTTCACAAACCCAGACACACACACAAACCAAGTAAAATTTTTTTTTTTTTTTTTTTTACATATTACAATTTTTTTCATCAAATAAATGCAGCCTTGGTGAGCATAATATAATTAAAAAAACATTAAAAATAAAAATAAAAACTTATAAGGGTGTGGACCTTCACTCAATAGAGTCGTTATAATAGGCGTTATTAATGAGCGGCATTTAGTGTTCAAACTGCATGTACCTGAATAATATAATTTTGCATTTAACGCCTATGTGTGTGAGCAGTTGAGTTTATTGACATGGTTTTCTCAGTGTGAGCTCTCGCGCGTAACTGCATATGTGTGGGTTTTGCATTTGTGTTAGTGTGTTAGCTAATCCTAAATGCCTGTGGGGAGAGATTTCTGACTGTGTAGGGGGGTATTAACTTGTGGTAATCTCTGTAGGGGTTCCCTGATCACACTTCACAGGGGGTCGCAGCAGGGTTCCTGTATGTGTGTGTGTGTGTGTGTGTGTGTTCATTCCAACAGCTCCAGAAAGCAGAGACAGTGGGCAAACACAATTTATTGACGTTCTTCGGCTCATTAACAGTGAAAATACATGTGTCTGTAGTGTTGAGGGGAAACTGTTGTGAATAGCCTGTTTTCGTAGTTTAAAATGTGATTTCTTTAACTTAAAATGTGGAGTCTACAAGTGGAAAAAATGACATTGAAACATTACTCTTTGTGTTAAATGTATGGATGATTCTGGATAAATATAACTTTATGTAGAGCTGGGTTTGGTGGTTTTTATTATTCTTGCTTCTGCCGCCATCTTGTGGTCAGATGCGTTAATTACACATTGGCGTCTGGCGCCATCTTATGTTCAGGTTTGAAAGTTACTTTTATGCTTCTGTCGCCATCTGGTGGTAAATATACATAATAAAATTCAAATAGCCTACTGCAGATTACAGCAAATCAGTCTGTCACGCACTTTTAAAAGTCTGTCAATAAGACAAACAAACTAAAACTACAAATTCAGGGACAGAGAACCACGGGAAAGTGATTAACGAAGCTCGGTGAGTAACATTCAAACATTCAAACTTCAGTAAATGGAGAGCTTTTTGTTCTAAAACGCATCATCATTTAAATCGGCTAATTTATTCTTTATAAAAGGTTTGTTTAAAAGAGTCTAGTAATCACAAACTGCTGTAATTGGTTCAATAAGTGCTGAGAAAAGTAACATATTGCACATGACAACGTCTGTTTAGACCAGAATAAGTATATTGGGACACATTAATAATAGCGTCGAATTGCAAAAATACACGATGAAGAGTTTAAACATGAGAATGAATATTTAAACGAATCGTACTTCATAGCTTAACTGATAACTTTATAACTTCCAGTAAGATAAGCACCGCCTTTACGAACCTTTCTTCTAGTTTTCCATTTCTACTTTTCGCACTTTGCCGAAAACATTTTCTCAGTTTTGGTGGCGATCCCAGAGGTGATCCTTTGTATTGGACATAAACTTTGAGAATATGGCTGAACAAACCAGGAACGATGGCTTGATTTTCTGTGTCAACGGGAAAAAGGTGCTTATCTGCAGAAATCCTTTGTAACGTTACAAGTGTAGCCTGGTCATGTGTTTGTTGTAAATGTTCTTTAACTGTAGCGAAGATTTGTTTGTGAACATGTTGTCAAATTCAATCCTAAAAGTAATGCATAGAGCATAATAATGACAAGATAATCTGGAAAAAGACATTGAATTTAATTTGAATAGAGACAGCGATTATAATATTTTTTAAAAGATATTTAATAAAATCTGCATAAACTGAAAGCATTTTGCATATGTTTCTACCTCTTATTGACAGATAATGGAGGAGAACCCAGACCCCGAGACTATGCTGCTGTCTTATCTGAGGAAGAAATTTTTATTTTTTTACACGTTTTAATAAATCTTCAAATTGTTATTATTATTTTTATTATTATTATTATAAATGGTTGATACATATAATGTACTTTTTTTGTAAAACAATAAAAGAAATCATTATATATATATATATATATATATATATATATATACTCTTATTGACAGATAATGGAGGAGAACCCAGACCCCGAGACTATGCTGCTGTCTTATCTGAGGAAGAAATTTTTATTTTTTTACACGTTTTAATAAATCTTCAAATTGTTATTATTATTTTTATTATTATTATTATAAATGGTTGATACATATAATGTACTTTTTTTGTAAAACAATAAAAGAAATCATTATATATATATATATATATATATACACACATAATTTTATTTATGTGATGGGTTAGGGTTAGGTAATAGGGTTTCTTATAAATGGTTATTCAACTTTTATTGTTGTTTATTTTTAATAATTATATATGCTGAATTTTATGATCATATATTTATATGATAAGTTATATTTATGAAATGTTATAAGATTTGTTAATGTTAACTATGAAATGTTACCGTAGATAATTTCCAAAGGAGGTTATGTAATTGCAAATATTGCTGGGTTTAGGTTTGTATTTTTAATC